AACTAGAAGAATGTGCAGCTACAACACACAACTATCCACTGGGGCTTTGGGGGGAAAAATAAATAAAATCTTTAAAAAAAAAAAAAAAAAAAAAAAGAATACATTTGAGGGGTAGGCTAGGTAGTAGAGCGATTAAGCTCCTGCACTCTGCTTCGGCAGCCTGGGGTTCACAGGTTCGGATCCTGGGCACGGACCTGTGCATCACTTAGGCTGTGCTGTGACAGGCGTCCCACATTAAATGGAGGAAGACTGGCACAGATGTTAACTCAGGGCCAATCTTCCTCAGCAATAAGAGGAGGATTGGCAACAGATGTTAGCTCAGAGGTAATCTTCCTCACAAAAAAAAAAAAAAAGAATACATTTGAAAGGGTCACTACACATAATCAACCTTACCTTTTAAAATTAACTTTGAAAATGCTTGGTCATTCTAAACTGCTCTAATGGGGAATAATAGCTTTTTGGGGTTTTTTCCCAAACGGAAGACATTATGCATGGATATATATTCCCTTGCATCAAAAGTTAAATAGTGGCTCAAAGAATCTCCCTCAAATCTTTCTCTTCTAGCAAGAAGTGAACTTAACCATCTGAATAAGTTAGTCATATTATATGTCCCCATTGCATTTGTATGGGGCTCAGCGTTCAAAGCCCATTCACATGCATGAAATACAATGGCCCAGTGAGCCACGTATGGTAGATATTATCATTATCCTTCTTTTAGGAAAGAGGGTCCACAAAATTAAGTGACTTACACAAGTGCAAGAACCAGAACCCAGATCATCTAAGGAATACTGCCATGGTTTTTACAACATGCTGTGTTGACTGCTTCTACGTGTCCTCCCGTATGCATTTAGTCCTCTGTACAGAGCTTTTAATATGCTATTTCCTTAATTCAAATTGGTCCCAAAGGTTAGCAAAATTATAGTGCTAAAATCCAAAATTTTGGGCCAGCCCCGTGGCTTAGCGGTTAAGTGCGCATGCTCTGCTACTGGCAGCCCGGGGTTCGGATCCTAGGCACGCACCAACGCACCGCCTCTCCGGCCGTGCTGAGGCCACGTCCCACATACAGCAACTAGAAGGATGTGCAACTATGACATACAACTATCCACTGGGGCCTTGGGGAGAAAAAAAAAAAGGAGGAGGATTAGCAATAGATGTTAGCTCAGAGCCGGTCTTCCTCAGCAAACAGAGGAGGATTAGCATGGATGTTAGCTCAGGGCTGATCTTCCTCACAAAAAAATTAATTAATTAATTAATTTAATTAAATCCAAAATTTCTTAGCAATAATTTTCAAACAGAAATTCTATGAAGTCAGAGGCTTCTGGTCAATGAGTGAAATAAGAAAAAGAGAACCCTTGGGCCAGCCCCGTGGCTTGGCGGGTGGGTGCACGCACTCCACTACTGGCAGCCCGTGTTCGGATCCCGGGCACGCACCGACGCACCGCTTGTCCGGCCATGCTGAGGCCGCGTCCCACATACAGCAACTAGAAGGATGTGCAACTATGACATACAACTATCTACTGGGGCTTTGGGGAAAAAAAGGGAGGAGGATTGGCAATAGATGTTAGCTCAGAACCGGTCTTCCTCAGCAAAAAGAGGAGGATTAGCATGGATGTTAGCTCAGGGCTGATCTTCCTCACAAAAAAAAAAACAAAAGAAAAAGAGAAACCCCACTTTACAGGAAAGCTAATGACATAACATCAGTAGGTCAAATGCCTGCTATCACCTTACCTTAAGTCGACCTTTTAAAATTATTACCAAGAACTAATGTCTTCATTAGTTAAGAATTCCTGATCTAATAAGAAAATATTATACTAGGAATCTCTTCTGGATTTTTAATTAAGGATGACATAGAGAAGCAACATTTTTGGCCTTCTTGTAAGGTCCTCATTTAATGAATTCTTTCTATCCCTTACTCTCAATTCCTGCTCCCTAGGAGGGGTCACACTTTGACCTTTATACTTCTGTAACGTCATTTTGCTATTTATGGAGCTGACACTTCCCATCCTCAAAGGTCACTCAAGCAGGATTCATATGTATATCAAGCTTATTTAACATAGAGAGCCCTAATAGCATGCTAGTACCTACTCATTTTCTCTGTATAACCACCTGTACTGACCTGGGCAATTCTGTACTAATTTTCTGCATGTCAAAATCTGTCTCTAAGGCTCGCCAAGAGTGAGATGGTTTACTTGATCAAATTATTTGCCCTGGGCCATGTGGCAAAGTTGAACAAGTAAGGGCTCTGGAGTCAGACACTAGGGTTCAAATCATGGCTCCATCACCTTCTAGCTGTGACCCCCAATTTTCTCATCTATACCATGCGTCTTTTACATGGCACATGGCCCTCTTGCAGCATTCTTATCAGAATTAGAGCTAACATATTTAGTGATGCATTTATAAAAATGCCAAGCACATAGTAGAAACTCATTATACGGCAACTCTTTTTATAGGTATTATTCTGTTTTATATGTACTACTTATGACCAGGATTTCAGAAGGCAAGTACCCCTGCAGGGTATCTAATTCCTCTAACTTTCCCTGATAGGGTATATTTTACAACACAGGCTTGGACCAGGGTCAATCAACAGTTATGAAGACCCAAAGAAATCTCCAATTCAATTGCAAATAATTCCTCAGTTATCTCATATAGTTGGAGAATGAGATAGTCTAACTACACAATTGTTCTGTCCACTAACAACTTGAGATGGAATATAACAGTGCATCTCTTAAAAATATCTGAATCATAGTATTCCAGGGCCAAAAGAACTTCAAGGGGTATCTAGGATAGAAGGGTCCTTAAGTCAGATCATAAGGAAGACAAGCCTTTCTTAAAGATATTCAGAAAAGAAGCTTCCCCAGCCTTCCTCCCTCCTTCCAGTTGTTTTACCCAGCTCACGGCAACAATCTATAAGAACAACGTAGTAACAATCTATATTAATTAATACACGATCATAATTTCTACCATGAGAACTCACTCTCACCCCTCGCTCTCTCTCTTTCTCCCTCTGAAGAACTAACTGGAAGGTAGCAGGCAGAGGTCAGGTTATTTCTCATTTTGAAACAAGAAACTAAGGAATCAAGCTGTGCAGAATGTCAGGGCTCCAGGCCTTACCATGAAGATTTCATCATACATCAGCACCACTTTTTCCTTTAGTGGTTTTTTGGAGGCTGAAGATTTCCGGAGCAAACCCCCTCTTTTCTCTACTTGTGCCATGGTTAGAGAATCTGTGAAAAGAAAGCCACAGTCAGTACTAGAAATGCTCTCCAAGATGCTAGAGAATCTCTTGAAATACCTTGCAATGGGAAATTTTTTAGGAAGAAGAAATGATAAACAACCATGCTATAGATCTTGTGCACCAGTCCACACCCCCTCCCCAACCAGGTAATTTCAAGGTTTAAATCATTACTTGGCCTACAGCACAACACATTTTATATCCTTAAAACATGCCAGCGGACAAGGCTTAAAGCAGATCCAAACCAAGCAGGAAAGTGTAACTAGCTCCATCTATAATAAGTCTGGCCATATATTTGAGGCTGAAGGAAGGAAGGCTGCAAAGCACACATTGCCCACAGACTGATGGTGAAGTTAAATTTCAAGTATTGATCGAGTGTAGGACCATTAAGGCAGGAAGTGTGCTGCAGATTAATGTGCTCCATTGATTTCCCCAAAGTAAGTAGGTCCTCATCACTGCAAAGTACTTGGCCTTCACTGCCTCATAAATCACACTGCACTTGACTGTCTTCAGAAATTTCTCTGGAAAGAGACCTAAGGCAGAAAATAGCAGTTAAAAGGCCAAAAATTAAACTTGATTTCAAAGTAACCAAATATAACAATGCTCCTTTCAAATTAAATTATATATATTTGTAATACAATTGCAGATCAAACTTTAATGTATTTTTCAATTCTATATAAAAGCAGTTCCATGAATCAATTCTATATAAAAGTAGTTCCATTCATTTCCATGAATCGTGCCCAAATTTTCTCATCTTGCCTCAAGGAATTCTCAATTTTTTTCAAGTGAGAACTTGAAATCTACTATGAATTTACACATATTCCCTCACTTCCAAGATTCTTTCTATTATTAACAAAATTCCTGTCTCTCTCTTAAATACTAGGCTCTAGCTGTGAAACTTAATCTTACCCAACGGCAAGTATGCGGGTAGTGAGGAGCCTGATTTTCACTTCCAGACAAATCCAAAGCAGCAGAACAAAATTAATTTTGTTCAATGACTTTTGGAAAATATGCACTATCTTTCAAATCAAAATCAAAATTTTGTTTAAGGAAGAGATGCATCCAATAGCAAAAAAGATTATATCTCAGACAATGTCTTTCTCTAATACATATAGCCAAAAAAGGAGATTCACCTTTGAGCAGAAAAAGCACAAAGCACAGAAAATTTCCCTAACTAGATATTAACCATCTTTAGCAAAGGGACTACATTTCACACTTTTTCTATAAGCCCTTGACTCATGGTAAATGCTCAGTGTATGCTCATCACTGAGTGATTCTGAAATACGGGGAGAAAAACCTGAAAAGTCCTAGGTCTGACCTAAAATTTTAGTAACACCTACCTTTATCAAGGCCTCACTAAGCCCTCAAATTCCATTATGGTCCAGAGAAAACTGAAGGAAAAAATAAAAACAACAACAACAAAAGAGAAGATTCTTTTGTGCAATTTATACTATATTGATCATGGCTTTCCCGTAAAGCATGAAATACAGCCTCCGTCCAAAACATGCCTGTGTCTTTTAAATAGGTTGTCAAGAGGAAGATGTCCTTATCGGGGGAAAATAAATTGGAAATCAAGAGGATCCTATTAAAATAAATCAAAAGCAATGCAATTCTAAGCTTAGTAGATATAGATCTTTTGTGTACTCAGCAAACCAGTTGATTAGCAAGAATAGTGGGAACCACGAACTCCTGGATGTGAAGCACATGTTTGCAAACATCCCCCTCTGAGAATTTATAATTGGGTTACAGCTAATCAATGTTCACTCCAAATCTAATCAATTCACTTTCTCTATTTAAGAATCAATACTTTCTAATAAGCAAAAGGGAATAGGAGCAAAGAGAAAAATAATTTCAATCCAAAGTACCAAACTTCCTAAGAAACTAAATTCTTTTCATCCCTCTCCTTCCATTTGGAGCAGGAGGAATTTCAACTAAGGGCTTCAATACATCATCACAGGCAACTGGAATTTACCACCCAAGCTGTCTGAAATGTGACTGGAAACTGACAACATGAAGTCTCCTCCTCCTGCCAGTATTTCTATCCATGGAACACAGCAAAGAAGGGTGTTTCTCGAGTGGTGGACTGGGAGAAGTGTGGAACTCACAAAAGTTTGTTTGGGGTCTCAGAAATTAAGCCTGTGCTCCTAAATTTGAAAGTAAAATATCTGACTGGTAGAGCAGTAAACTGCAGCACATCAGTAATGTGAGTGTAATCTGTTTACATCCTCCCAGTGTTTTTTCCTCTTTCGCAACCCTCTCCTGTTGTAGAGAGAACCAGTACTAGCTGAGGAGCAGCAAGGCATAACAGAACAAACAACCAGCAGACCTGAGACTAGAACACAGGTCTCCCAACAAACTAGATGACACTGAGTAAGTCATTGTGCTTCTCAGTTTCCTTACAAGTGAAACAAGGGAACTGGACTAGACATATCATCTGATGATTCTCTCAGCATCACTGAAATACCATGAACACATAAGGAAATATTGTAAAACACTAGTTTAGGGTTACAAAGAGGAAACTCCAGACCTGATCCTCTGGGAACTCACAATCTATTGGCATAGACAGATACATAATAACCCATAGCACAACACAAATCACAAGAAATAAATAGAGTAAAAGTACAAACAAAACACTATGGGACCACGAGGAAAGGGAAAAAGCATTCTACGACCATGCTATGACCTCTATGAATCCAGGCTTTTAAACCTTTCTGGCAAAGAAGCAAATACAGCAAAGCCACGGTAATCCCACAGAAATGTGATCTTAGATTTTAATACAGTTTCTCACAAAAAAGACATAATAGGCAAAGTATAAAAAAGAATCAGGCAACTTTTCAATATTATTTCATCTACCATCAAACTTAGGAATGGCTTCAAATCCCCCCAACTCAATGGTAAATCAATGAAGTCTTTTATTCTTAAACCTCAAGGACTGCTGGTCCCATGACCTACAGCACAACTTCTCTCTGCAAGATCCAAGTCATACAACTTTTTAAGAACTGTATCATAAAGCAATCCAGCCACACGCTTCTTAAATGCACATCACTTCACATCCCTATAGGATGAAATAGCCAAATAGCAAGATTTTAAAACCTAAGGCCGGAGCCAGCCCCGTGGCTTAGCGGTTAAGTGTGCGCACTCCGCTACTGGCGGCCCGGGTTCGGATCCCAGGCACGCACCAACGCACCGCTTGCTGGGCCATGCTGAGGCGACGTCCCACGTACAGCAACTAGAAGTATGTGCAACTATGACATACAACTATCTACTGGGACTTTGGGGAGAAAAAGGGAAAAAAAGGAGGAGGATTGGCAATAGATGTTAGCTCAGAGCCAGTCTTCCTTAGCAAAAAGAGGAGGATTGGCATGGATGTTAGCTCAGGGCTGATCCTCCTCACAAAAAAAAATACAAATAAAATAAATAAATAAAACCTAAGGCCAAACTCTTCCAATGTCTAACATGCATGGAATGCTTGTTACACTTAGCTAGTTATTCATTTGTTTTATTGTCTGCTTGAGCACAATACATGCCAACTCTAGTATCAGAAAATTAATTTAATAGAAATTCACTCTAATTTTCAGAGAGTTACCACAGTTGACCTATCAAAAGTCTTGAGTTTTAGTCCCAATCCTTATACACTCATTTATAACCTTAAGTTGCCTTTCATTCCCTGGGCTTCAATTTGCTAATGTGTAAAAAGGAGCCATGACAAGGATGTGCAGAAAAGGGAACGCTGTGCAGTACTGCTGAGAATGTAAATTGGTACAGCCACTATGGAAAACAGTATGGAGGTTCCTCAAAATATTAAAAATAGAACTACTATATGCTCTAGCAAACCCACTTCTGCGTATATATCTGAAGAAAAAGAAATCACTAACGAGAAGAGATATCTGCACCCCCATGTTCACCGCAGCATTATTCACAACAGCCAAGACATGGAAACAACCTAAGTGTCCGTCGATGGATCAACAGATAAAGAAAATGGGATATAGGGCCAGCCCCGCAGCTTAGCAGTTAAGTGCATGCGCTCCGCTACTGGCGGCCTGGGTTCGGATCCCGGGCGCGCACTGACGCACTGCTTCTCCAGCCATGCTGAGGCCACGTCCTACATAGAGCAACTAGAAGGATGTGCAACTATGATATACAACTACCTACTGGGGCTTTGGGGGGAAAAAAAGCAGGATTGGCAATAGATGTTAGCTGAGAGCCGGTCTTCCTCAGCAAAAAGAGGAGGATTAGCATGGATGTTAGCTCAGGGCTGATCTTCCTCACAAAAAAAAAAATAAAGAGAAAAAAGAAAATGTGATATATATACAATGGAACATTATTCAGCCATAAAAAAGAAGGAAATCCTGCCATCTGCAACAACATGGATGAATCCTGAGGGCATTATGCTAAGTGAAATAAGTCAGACAGAGAAAGACAAAATACTGTATGATCTTACTTATATATGGAATCTAAAAAAGCCAAACTCATAGAAACAAAGAGTAGATTGGTGGTTGCCAGGGGCTGGGGAGTGGGGGAAATGGAGAGATATTGGTAAAAAGGTACAAACTTCCAGCTATAAGATGAATAAGTTCTGGGAATCTAATGTAAAGCATGGTGATAACACTAGTTAAGAATATTGTACTGGGCTGGCCCGGTGGCGCAAGCGGTTGGGTGCGCGCGTTCCGCTGCGGCGGCCCGGGGTTCGCTGGTTCGGATCCCGGGCGCGCACCGACGCACTGCTTTGGCAAGCCATGCTGTGGTGGCGTCCCATATAAAGTGGAGGAGGATGGGCACGGATGTTAGCCCAGGGCCGTCTTCCTCGGCAAAAAAAGAGGAGGATTGGCGGATGTTAGCACAGGGCTGATCTCCTCACAAAAAAAAAATAATAAGAAGAATATTGTACTGTATACTTGAAAGTTGCTACAAGAATAGATCTTAAATATTCTCAGCACAAAAAAAAAGGTAACTATCTGAGGTGACAGATGTGTTAACTAACCTTATCGTGGT